TTAGTATTAGTATTTATTTTTTCTGATATATTATTTTTTATTATATATCTTTTTTTTGTTCTCTATTATCTCTTTTTTTTTCTTTTTCCTTCACTACAAGAAAGTGTTATCATTTTGGTAGCATTCTATTGTAGAGTATAAATCTTGACAGGGCAGTACAACAGCTAGCTGAGAAATCTAGGAGAAATAAGTTTGGAGTAAGTTCTGAATTTCTGGAGGAAGCTAATCATTTGCTAGACAGGTTGTATCTAGGCAAAACACAGCAGTTTAATGGTTTGCTCTAGCTGCAAGATACATTGTAAGTAAGTTTATCTTTTGGTTAGAAACACTATAGATTTAGATTTCTTCATATGTTGATATAAGAATGAAAGTCTGTTTCTATAATAAAGTAAATAGGATTGCTGAAGGAAAAAAATATTTAAATTAAAGTAGATTTAAATTAGATTTATTGTTTAAAGCAAAGCGAAGAATGCTCTGTTTTTATAATAGCAGATAATTATTTAGATCACATAAGAATTCTGTCTGTCTGGTTTTGTGATGCTAATTGGTTATAATGATCTTCATATACTGTATATACAAAAAATCTGGCTTAAAAAAACATTTTTCTTTATACTCCAGACTTATACTGGTTTCTAGTTCCAAGTATAGTATTAGATTTATTGTAAAAAAAATTTCATTTTATATATTAGTTATATGATATATCATATCTAATTTTTTTATATATAAAATTATAGCAAAAATATATAAATTATTTATAAACTTTAAAATCTAATAGTTTCTTCTCTTATATTAACTTTAAATTAAATTTTATAAATAAATATATCAAAAAAAAAATAAAATATGTTTTAAACTGAACTAAAATTTTGTAATTTTAATTCATTTTGAAAATATAACTCTATTAAAAGAAAAAATTTAATAGTTTTAAAGTAATAATTATATATATAATTATATTCTAAACAATTTTCAATTTGAAAATAAAAAAGATTATTTAATAAAAAAAATTTACTATATATTGTCACAGATTAAAATGAAATTTGATTAAAATGATTTTTTTTTGTTTTTTAAGAAAAATTTAAAATTTTTTGGAAGATATTTTTTGTTTCTTTAGTATTAGAAATAGGATTTAGAGTTAGATTTATTAATAAATAAGTATATGTAGATTTTATAGACTTTAAAGGTAGGTATAAAAGGTTTTCAGTTTTATTTTAATCAGATTTCATTTTAATCTGTAATATGTATTAATATTAAAATTTTTAGTTTTCTATATAGAATTTAAGCAAATTTGTTGAACATATAATTCTATATACTTTATATTTTGCTAATTTTATTTTTTCAAACTTTTTACTAAATAAAAGATTAAATTAAAAGTTATATAAAAAATTTTTTTAAAAAATTTTTTAAAAAAAAATTTTGTATAACTTTTGATTTAATCTTTTACTTAGTAAAAAGTTTGAAAAAACAAAATTAATATGATATAAAATATATAAAATTATATGCTAAACAAATTTGTTTAAAAGGTCAAAATAGATTAGAGATGTAACAAAAATCAAGTGATTTTTTAGAAGAAAGGGGAGTAAAAAATTTAAAATTATATATAAAGACCTGATTAAAATATATATTAAGAGGAGAAGAGGAGATAAATTTTTTTGATAAAAAAAAAACAGGTAATAAATGATACTACCCTTATCTAAGTAAGAAAAGTTTTATATAAAAAAATTGAAAATTTTAATATTAGTATATAGAAAACTTTTTTTACTAAGATAATCTTTTATTTTCTAATTGAAAAAAATTGTTTAGAGTATAATTTTATATATAATTATTGTGACAGATTAAAATGAAATTTAGATTAAAAACCGGCAATGAAAATTCAAATTCTCAGTACAGTATTACAGTAACTGTGAGTGTAAGAGCAGATCGATATCTGTAACTAGATCATACCAACTCGACTGAGAGACTGTGGAACAATAGTGTAATATACGAGTTACACAAAACCCGAGCGAAGCAGTTGTATAAATCCGAGGTTAGCATATATGGAAGCCCGCTTGGCAAGACCTGAGTAGAGAGGTTGCACAGATCTTCAATGATACTACATAAAGGATTATCAATCAGAAAACTGGAGAACCGAACAGGACTGAAGTGTTTGGCAAGGCACTCTACTAACCAGGCCGCCAGAGAGTAACCAGAGGAAAAAAACCTAATTGTGGGGACTAAGAGCAGGTCACAGCCCTTCCGGGCTATCTGGATTAGAAGTTTAGGATGACAGGTGTACAGGGGATAGTCCAGATAGTGGGTGCTGGTGTTTGGATGAACTTTGCAAAAGCACAGAATAGGTAATAATAGTAGAGGTAAAAAGCTGCAAGTACTTAGCCTCGGCCTAGGCGTAAGTTACCGAAAATCTAGATGATACATGCGTGGGACATGGACCACTCTAGTAGATTTATCACGAGAATAAAGGACCCCTCTATATAGAAGTATGTGTTTACTTTAAAGTTCTAAGGGGCCTTCTCGGCAGTTCCTCTTTAAGAAGAATATCCGACGGCACTAAGTTGATCAGAGAGTTTAAATAGATAATCCCCTTAGTTGGGTTATAGGTATAGCATCTAGTGTAGTTCATATGGGTTACATATGTAAGACTGCTTAAATAAACAACCAAAAGTTGTATATATGACTAGTTATACTCTCATTAATATAACAAAGTCAGGGGTAGGCTATATGGTTGCTCTGACATTCGAATCAAAGTTTAATAAAACGTGCTAGACCCCTAAGTGGTCACCTTAATATTAAAAAAAAAAAAAAATAAAATTCAAATTAAAATGAAATTATAATATAAGAATTTTATTATTTTGTGTATATGCATTGTAACGTACTCCTATAAGATCAGGTGTAATATGAAATCAAAACAATGGTTTTTTATATAATTAGGGTTAGCATTAGGTAAGGTTAAGACAAGGTTAAGGTAATTATAAAAGATGGGCTTATAGTAAAATCTTGCAAGGAATTTTTTTTGTTAAGACTCGAAAGGTAGTTGCATATGCGAAATTTTGAGTTATAGGTAATTTTTGGCAAAACGAATGCTTGTTTTGAATTTTTGATCATGTAACATTATATATGATCTTACATTTTAATTGGTTGATCAAGGGGTACGTTACAACATATATGTACTAAATTATATACCCTAGACTTCCGAAATTAAGCATCCTTTTTTTGCATCTAATGCTGGCCAAGATCATCATAATGCAGGCCAAAATTGGTTTAGTGTAGGCCAGGGGTGCTTATTTTCGGGAGGCACTTATTTTCGGAATTATACAGTAACTCATAATATAAAATCTCGAAAAATAAATTTTTTTGTTATGTATTTTTTAGGGAGAAATATAACGACACAGCATACACATGACTTATCTTCTTTATCAGCACAGCAGTGATCGATATAAGCACCCCATTTTTAATGATTAACATGCATGTGCAGGGGACCCTATGTATAAAAACATATCAATATCAATACGTATCAAATTTGGACTAGTGTATAAAATTTCTAGGATATGCTTTTTTTGGCAATGCTTTTTTAAACCAAAACATAGAAACTATGATGGAAGTAGGATATTATAAAGAATGAAAAATTTCTGCATAATGAAAATTCGAACTAAAAGTTGTCTTAAACAATAATCGATATTTACAATAGGTTTTGTGCTCTAATTCGTATATAACAAATGTTGACCCAAAAGAAAAACTATTGTTTTAATTATACGTAATAAAAATCAAACCAATATGTAACATTCGAGTAGTTGTCTAAACTATATACACATTTGTGGGATGCTATTATTTCACAATCTTTTTATTTATAAAATATAAAAATACGAATGTCATAATTGTTTTTATAAAAAAAACAATTATACAATAAGTTTTGACCAATGGTCTTCAAGACTGTATCTGCGACAGATAGATTTATACTGCACATTAACTATTGGCCAATTCACTTTTGTATAATTTTTCATGCTTACATATATGATATGGTTACTATTTACAAAATGTAATATAATCGGATTTTTTCTATGTACTGGCACTGTCTTTAATAGAAAAACATTGTACACTGTTCATCCTTCTCATCAAAGATCACAATAGGAACCGAAAAAGTGTCAACGGCTAATTGTATACAATCAGGTGACAAAAACCAAAGTGAAGATGAACATAGTGATGCCTGTGATTCTAATATCCGTCTAAGTAAATCAATCTCATAGCCCAGCCAGTCTTTATAAACCTTCATATGCTTATTTAGTTGACCATTCATAGCTAATTTGACAAGATTCCAATTTTCTTCATTTCCTCTGATAGCAATAGCAAGCGCCCGAAATTCGCAATTATCATCACTTTTTGGATTATGAATTTGATCTATATCATCAACAGGAATTTGTGGATTCAATAAAATTTTTGGGCTTGTATCTATAAATACTAATACATTAATAATAATATATTTTAATTTTTAAAGTGAGGTCATGCCTCTTGTATCTTTTATTAAATCATAAGTTTATATACTACTATACAACCTTGTTGCTCACTCATGT